CAATATAATTTGTGTAGGGATAAGACTCAATATGAAAAAGAGGTCATTTTCCCCCCCAAATTATTTGCTAAATTTGGTGTGATCCCAGACCCAGTGGTAACAGATTTTTCTGCCCAAATTTGGCATAATGATTAGAAAGTTAATCTGGAAAAATAAATATGTAAAACTATCCAAGTGACATCTTTTAAAATTAAGGGTCATAGGCAGAAAAATTAGTCCTCTTAATATTAAAATATGCATATCTTAAAAATTTGCTACAGGGCATGTGCACTTGCTGGAGAGAAGCTGGGGTGGGAGGTGTGTGAGAAAGTATTCCCCAGGAGGGATGGCCACACTATAATCTCTTCTCTTACATTCTCCTCTCAGGATTTTGGGCATGCATGCACATGCATCCAGTGTGTTTTTCAAGCCACAAGGCCCTGGATTTGAACCTTGCAGTTGGCCAAGTGGGGTGTAGCCACTGGCTGGATAAATAAAACATATTTAAAATAACTGTAATTTAAAGAGTGGGGCCATTGTAGAAATAAATGGAAAAAGTAAAGCAGAATAGAAAATCAAGAAGTATCAATACATAAATATATATTTTTCAATTTTTGAGATATTTTTGGTGTAGGGTACATGCTTACTGAAAAGACAGAGAGAAGACAGAGAGGCAGAAAGCAAGAAATTGCCCCCCAAGGGGATGGCCATGCTATAGTCCCTTCTCTTCCACTCTCCTCTTGGGGTCTTGGGCACACATGCACATGTGCCCAGAGTGAGATTTTTTTTCTTTGTTTTGTTTTTGAGAGATTTTTGCCATAGTGCACATGAAGCCTCACCAGAGAGACAGAGAAAGAGAGACAGAAAGCAAGAAATCACCCCCCTCTCAGGAGGGATGGCCACGCCCCATTCCCTTCTCCTCCATTCTCCTTGGGATTTGGGGCACGCATGCACACGTGCCTGGCATGAGTTTAAGCGGCTATGTCCTAGACTCAAACAGTGGTTGACTACATGGGAGTCCAGTGACATCAACATTACACCATCTGCTGGCTCAAATATTTTAATATTTAATGGCTATTTAATTTATATAACAGTTTGCATATTTATACATACAACGAACATCTCATGACCCCTTACTACCTGCTAGGTTCTATACTGTGCTTCATCAAGGACAGTTAATTCACAGTCTCTATTTTCAGTCTAATTTGAGAGAGAGAGAATACTAGACATTAGAGTTAGAGCTAAGATTGAGAATGATTTTACTTATTTATGAAATGTTCTAAATATACAGAATATAGCAAATACCCAATAAATGTTACCTGTTGTTATGAAATGTGGGTAAAAGCTATAATAGATGGTGTGAACAAAATGTTATAGGAGCATAAGGGAAGAAGCAACTGGGAGGGGGTATGGATAAATCCAGTGTCTTGCTACATGTTAGGAGAAACTGGTATTTCTTCCCCTAGCCAAATTTACTCTGTCTATACCAGGACATATACGATAGACAGCAACCTATATTGTCCAATGTGATAGCCCCTAACCACAGGTGGTCATTGAACATGTGAAAAATAGCTAATGTGACCAAATAACTAAATTTGAAATTGTAGCTAGTTTGAATTTAAATTTTGGGACCAGCAGTTGGTGTAGTGATTAAGGTGCTGGACTTCCACGCGGCCAACCATGGTTTGAGTCCCAGACCTGGTAGCCTGAAACTCACATCAGGTATATATGCATGCATGCCCAAAATCCAGAGGAATGGAGGAAAAGGGACTGCAGCATGGCTATCCCAGTGATTTCTCATTTTTGTCTTTCTGTCTCTCTCTGGCAGGTGCATACACCCTATAGCAAAAATCTCTCTTAAAAATTTTTTTTAATTTAAATAGTCACACTTAGCTAGTGGGTACCTAAGGGCGGGTCCATGTAAATAAGAGTAACATACAGGGTGGACTGGTGGCGTGGTGGTTAAAGGCACTGGACTCCCACATGACTGACTGTAGTTAGAATCCCAGACCTGTTGGCTTGCTTTCTCACTTTCTCTTTTTTTTTTTTTTTATGTCTCTCTCCAGTCAAATTTTTAAAATAATAATAATAAATACAATTAAATAAACAATTCTAAAAAGGAAAAAGTAACATACAAGCAAAAGAATAATAGTTTATTTATTATCTAGGAATCTGGGAACTATCCTGATAGTTAATATTAGTTATTTGTTTCTTTCCAGCCCATTCTCTCAAAAATTCCTGAGTTCATTTGGTTATTTTGTAATCCTTTGTTGTAACTGAGTCAAATTAGAACATACCCATCTCAGTGTTTATATTTGGGGCCCTGTACTACTACAGAGACCAAATGAGTTGGAATGATACAAATACGTAAGTCTGGCTTAAAGAGTCTATGACAGCTAGTGGGTTTTTGTCTTTTTGAACATTGATTGAGTGATTGATTGATTGTGATTTTTAAACCTCTGAGTCCAGGACTCAAACCATAGTCAGCCATGTGAGAATTCAGCACCTTAACCACCACTCTGACTGCTGACCCTAGACAACTAGTGCTTTTAAAAAAAAAAAAAAAAGAAAAGATTGGAGTTGTTTAAAACAATCAAAATGTTGTCTGTTGGCCTCAGTTTCCCTTTACAGACACCTCTTCAGGCTTTATTGACTCTTTAAACTTCTCTCTTTCAAGTGTACCCTTGAGCTCCAGTTATGTGAAAATGTTGAAGGAGACAAAGCCACAAAACATGGTTTACCATTCCTATACTACAATAATGAAGAAAAAAGGAAGAAAAAACTTGAGATTAGTTTTCCATGTATATACATTTTTAAAAGAATTTTTAATAAGAGTTCAGATAAATGTAGTCACAGATTAAGGCTCAGACAAGACTGGGACTAAAACATGGGAGTCCAAATTCTCAGGCTGTTCTAGAACATACAGTCCTTCGGGATTTGTGTTCTAGATTGGAAGAGGCATGTTGCAGCCACTGCCCATCTGGCGCATATTTTCTCAGGCTATCCAAGCTCTATCTGATTTTGTGAAGTAAAAAGAAATTTTGAGTTTTTTTTTTCTTTTTTACCTGAGATGTAGGAGAAATCTCTAAAATATTGACCTGTGAAAACCTAATTTCCTCTTAGTTATTAATTATTTTTTTAAAGAGGTTTTTGCCTTAGGGTGTGTGTGCTTACTGGAGAGAGAGACACACACAGAAACAGCGAGAGGGAAAGTAAGAAAACCCCCAGGGAGGATGGCCACGCCACAATCTCTTCTTCTGGGATCTTGGGCACGCGCACACATGCGCCCTGTGTAAATTTCTTTCTTTTCTTTTTTTTTAAAGAGGTTTTTTCCTTTGGGCCTGTGTGCTTGCTTGGGAGAGAGAGAGAGAGACAGAGACAGTGAGAGGGGAAGTGAGAAGTCACCCCTCCCACCCCGAGGGGATGGCCACACCACAATCCCTTCTCCCTTCTCCATTCTCCTTCTGGGATCTTGGGCATGCACGCACAAGCCACCGGGTCCAGGACTCTAACCATGGTCAGCCATGTGGCAGTCCAACAATGTAACTGCTACACCATCTGCTGATACCCCATGTGAATTTCAAGCCACCAGGTCTGGGGCTCTAACCTTAGTCCTCAGTTGGCAATGTGGGAATCCATTGACATAACTGCTATGCCATCTGCTGGCCCTGTCCCTTAGTTATTTCAAAAGATGCAACTTGAGTAAGGGACATGAGGGCCAGCCTGTGTGTGGCTTAGTCGTTAAGGTGGCTGGATCCTATATGGCTTACTGCACTGTTTACACGTCCAGACCCATCGGCTTGGGAAACATGCTGGGTACATGTTCATGTGCTCAAAATCCTGAAAGGAGAGAGAAACAGAAGAGACTGCGGTGTGACCATACCCACGTGTGGTACTTTCTGGTTTTCCATCTCTGTCTCTCTCTGCAGTGAGTGCACATTCCCTCTGACAAGTAAAAAAATAAAATAAAATAAAATAAAATAAAATAAAATAAAAAGTACAACTTGAATGGAAAGTTAAATGATAGCAGATAAAATCTCTTTGGTACCATTCAGCATTGCCTAAAGGCTTAGACCGCTGTCCATCCGCTGAGGGATCTAAGTACATCTCAGTTATCAGTCTATTCTGCTAATAGGTGAAGTAGCAGACTTAGGGTGAGGAATCCCATTAGTATAGAGGGTCTTCAGAAAGCTCACCAGGAATGTGTATTAATGAAAAAATTATATGGATCTTTTTTCTTTTGCAGCAAAATAAACTTGTACCTTAAATGTAATTACATCAGCCTATGTTGCTCTTCTGATTGCTCTCTCTTCTTTTCTATCCAGGGTCACATACATAGAATTTAAGTACTTTTTTCCTTAGAGAAATATAAGACTTCTAACTCATTTGTTAACCTACTGGCCAAATAATCTAAACTATTCCCTAAAATGTTAATGAACCAATATATCAATAGCGAAAATGTATAATCTTGTTCCAAATGATGATTTATAGGACACAGAGAAGTTAAGAGAGCTGGATGTAAAGAAAGAGAGGGACAAAGACATGATAAAGTAAATTTTACTTACTCCTGAAATTTGTAAGCTGTTTTCATAGATCTTTCATATTCTGGTTAGCTGGCTAACCACTGTTCATATTTCAGTCATCCTTCTAAGCTTAAGGGGCTTGGCCCTTCAGGCGATAACCAGAACAGTCAGCAAAAGGAACCAGTGCTCCAAACTAGACAGCAGCTAGCCAGAGCTCTGCCCAGGCTGGAAGAAATCAAGCCGTAGTTATAGGCCTAGCTCTGGCCAGAGGTTTTCTCCTCATGATAGGATAGCTTAGTGGCAGTGGCTGGCTGTTGTTTTTCTACTAGATAGACTGTCTTTTTCCCTTTTCAGAAACAGCATTTCATTTTTCTTGAGAGGATGAATTTCTATTAAGGAGGAGCTTGACTAAGGTGACCTACTTCTGTCTTTACCAAGCAGGCAAGTGAAAAGCAGTTTTACAAGGCTCTTCATTGGGGGTTTCTGTTTCCTTCACAGAGATTGAGACAGTGAAATTGGCCCGTTCTGTCTTCAGCAAACTACACGAGATTTGCTGCAGCTGGGTGAAAGACTTCCCTCTCCGCAGGAGACCCCAGCTTTATTATGAGACATCAATCCATGCCATCAAAAACATGCGCAGGAAAATGGAGGACAAACATGTCTGCATTCCTGACTTTAATATGCTCTTCAACCTAGAGGTAAAGGGCACTCCGGACAGTCAGTGAGATAAAACATATACCTTCATGGGCCTGTTAGGAAAGGAGAGCTTTGGGGAAGGGACCAGCAGTTAGCATAATGGCTATGTCGCTGGACTCCCATGTAGTTGACTGAGGTTCGAGTCCCAGACCCGGTGCCTTAAAACTCACACCAGGTGCATGTGCGTGTGTGCCCAGGATCCCAAGAGGAGAATGGAGGAGAAGGGATTGCAGCGTGGCCATCCCCCCTGGGGGGTGATTTCTCGCTTTCTGTCTCTCTGTCTCTCTCTGTGTGTCTGGCAAGCGCACGCGCCCTATAGCAAAAACCTCTTCAAAAAAAAAAAAAAAAAAAGAAAGAGAAAAGAAAAGGAGAGCTTTGGGGAACAGCAGGTGGCATGGTGGTTAAGGCGCTGGACACTCCCACATGGCCAACCAAGGTTTGAGTCCTGGATCTTGTGGCTTGCTTTCTCACTTTCTCTCTCTCTCTATCAAATTAAAATAAATGAATGGATAAATAAATAATTCTTAAAAAAAGGAAAAAGAAAAGGAGAGCATTAGTAATTATTTCTCTGATAGGTTAGAGCAGGACTAAATACAAACTGATAGAAAGTTGTTTGCACTAGACAACTAAAAAGGAGCTCTTTGTCTTCTGTTATTTTGAATAGGCGATGCATTCACATGGTTCAAAATTAGAAAAATGAAAATCTTATTTTTGTCTCTCAGATACTTGGTTCCCCTCCATGAAGCAAGGAAAGTTACCAGTTTCTTGCTTAACTTTCCAGAGCTATTCTTTAAACATAAAAGCAAAAAAGAAAACTGTTATATCTCAATATAAATACAAATAGGTTGTTTTTAAAAGGAAACTATTTTCCCATATTCCTATGTTCATGAGAAAACACAGACATAAAAGAATGAATTAAAGGTTGGGACAATTTTCTGATTTTTATAATTTTCCTTTTAAAATCTTGGTCTCTGAGATAGGAAAATAGCTGAAATTACATTTCATGAATCTCTGTGACTGACAAATTGGATCCATATAAGCCTTGTCAGCTTAATAGCCATTTTCTTGTTATCTCTCTCTTTTTCTATTAAATGTATTATGTTAATAGAAACAGAGGTAGGTTTGTTTCCATCGCCTGTCACTTGCCTCTTTTCTTCACTCAAGTCCATAACTCCAAAATTACAACATAGTAATTTATACAAAGCACAATATTTCCCTCATTTAGCAGCTAAATTTAAATTTTTAGCTGACTGTCAGGGTCTAATCAGAAGTGATAGTGGGTTGGTAATTGGTGCTTGTGTTGCAGATGGATCAGCTAGTATCTGTTTCTAATACCACTCCCATGTAAATGTCACCCAAAAGGCTCTTGTGTGATAAGCCAACTTTCTATCACTACACCCACTTAAAGATTATACTCAGATTTGAGGGCATTTATTGTTGATTTGGGAGGTCTTTATCTTGTCTCCTAATGTAAAAATCAACCTAAAGGGCTAATTCAGAAAGGAGCACCTTCCTATGGTGAAGTAAGCTTTGAGGGCTATTTGGCAACACATAATTTTACCTTTCATTCTTTATTATAGGGAAACAGAAACGTAGAAGAGTCTTCCATACATTTTTTTTTGTTTGATATGTTTAATACAACATTGTTTATAATAATAAAAATTGGTCATGATGTAAATTAATAAGGCAAATATAACTATCATATACTCACAGGGTATATATTATAAGTCACTGAAAATATAATTGTCTTTGGGGCTGGCCCTGGGGCGTAGTGGTTAAGGGAGCTGGATCCTACCTGGCTGACTGTGCAGTTAAAGTCTTGGCCCAGGCAGCTTGAAATACATGCCAGGTGCATGTGTGTGCATGCCCAAAATCCTGACAGGTTGGAGAAGGGATTATGACATGGCCATGCTCCACTGGGGAAGGAGATGCTTTCTCCCTCTCCCTCTCTGTCTCTCAGGGAGCTCATGTGCCCTCTGGCAAATAAATAATAATAATAATAATAATTATATGAGAGAATGCTAACGATATGATCAATGACAAAAAGTAGAAGGTAAGATATTTTGTTTGGACCCAGCCACAGTAGCACTGGTAGATGCTGCCACGCATCAGACTGAGGTTACACGGGAGGCTGGGGTTTGATTTTCAGTCCACCCTAAAAGCCAGGTATGGTGTGTGTGCCTAGAGTCCCAGCTACCTGAGAGGCTGAGGCAGGAGGATCATGATGTAGTGAGACCCTATTTAGAAAAATAAAAATTATGTACAGTATGATCATAATTTTATTTTAAATTAATATAGAAAAAAGATAGGTTATACGGATGGTGGGATTATAGGTGGTACTTATTTCCTTTATATTTGTCAGTCCATTTTATACATTATTATAATGAAAAATTTAGTAAATGTTAATTTTTTTAAAGAAAAAAATTTAAAAATTTGTTTAATTTTTATTATTATTATTATTTGCTACGGGACATGTGTGCTCACCAGAGAGAGAGAGAGAGAGAGAGAGAGAGAGAGAGAGAGAGAGGGAAAGCAAGCTTTCAGTTCTGGGACTCAAACCACAGTCGGCCATGTGGGAGTCCAGCTCTAAAACCACCAAGCCACCTGCCAGCCCCCTAAAGAAAAATTTTTAAAGAAATCCACTTGACTCCTTTTTTTTCTAATGTTCTATCAAGTTGTTTAAAATTAGTACTGCTTTACAAAAGATAAGAATTCTACATGGAATTATTTCCAGACAGCTCTGTTTTATCAGTCCCAATGACTTTGAAGATGATGTTGCTTAAATTGCTAAATGAACTAGTTCTAATGTATGTATTAGATATAGATTTCATAATATTTGGGTGTTATTATTACTCTATGGACATTTACATTTGGTACTGATAAATGTACATTTTAAAAAGAACTTCTTCAAAGCACAAATATTACCTGTTGTTTTAGTAGTCCTTCCAAATTCGCCTGAGATCACAACTCATCCCTTCCTAACAGATGTGAAAACAAACATGAAAAAAGTATCATTTGCTCAAGATTCAACTACAAGGCCTGGACCCTTCTAAGGCTCCTACAGCCTAAGGAAAAAGAAGTCAGAAGATGTGGGAATGAAAATCATTACATACTGTTGCCTAAAGGGAGCTCAGGACTCAGTGAGATTTCAGTGAGTCACAAGATCTCCTATGTGAGATGGATCTGAGATTTCAACACTTGAGTTGAAGATGAAGAAGCAAACTACTTAACGGTTGAAATATAATCTTATGATTAGTCTTTCTTTGTCAAGACTAAGCAGACCCTCCTTCCCCCATAGTTGCCTTTGCAAGGAACTGTGAACTAAATCTTGGCTCATGGGGTGAGGCAAAGTGGCCAGCCACACAGGGCATTTAGGCATCTGGTGTGGTTCAAGTTTGGCTAACTGGTTTAGAGACTTTGTTATTTATGATGAGAATTCCGTGTGACCATGAATGACATGAAGGAAGTATTACAGTTTAGAATTATGTGTATGCTTTCAATCTCTCTCTGTATTTTAAATAACCTGAATATAACTGGCCTTGTGCTAGAAGGGCAATTATTTCCTATTGTTCTTGGGTTCTAATTTTATTATTGAAATGCTTACATTTATAAAAAAGAAAGAAGTGCTCAATCCATAACAGCTTTTGCTCAGTTCCTCCTCATAGCTTTTCTTCTCCCCCCACCCCCCAACTTGTAACAGCAATTTTGAAGCAAATGTATGTGGGTGGTTTCTATGGTACAAGACAACAACTTTGAGAGAGAGAGGGCATTTCAGCCTGAGCTAATTGGGCATGATATGTTCCAGCATTCTGGTGTGTAAACACAGATGCCCTAATATTACAGGTTATTTCAGTAGTTGGTGAGGCATGTTAGAAGAGGGAAACATTTAGTCTCATTATCTGAATGAGAAAGGCAGTGGAGGAGGATGGGCAACAATGTTTCCAGGAGATCCTTCATTTGAATCCCACTATATCCCTAACTCCTATATCCCTAACTCCTTTAACTGTTCTGTTTCTATTGACAGGACCAGGAAGAACAAGCTTACTTTGCAGTGTTTGATGGCCATGGAGGAGTGGACGCGGCCATTTATGCCTCCGTTCACCTACATGTTAACTTAGTACGTCAGGAAATGTTCCCCCATGATCCTGCTGAGGCCCTATGCCGGGCCTTCCGGGTCACTGATGAGCGGTTTGTGCAGAAAGCAGCCAGGGAGGTATGCCACCTTATCATAAATTGCAGCTGTGAAGGCTCGAGCCACGCTTACTTAGCAGTGTGGTTAAAGAGCTGTTTTGGATGTTTTCTCTCTGGGCAGTCTATATTCCTGACCTACAGTATTAAATTCTGTCATAGTTATGATTCCCTCTTCAAGAATTGTTTTAGTAGGGTATGTACAATGATCTCCTTTATAGATATTCTTAAGCTGTAATATTCTGGATTCATTTCTGTAGCCATTGTTGGCAGGTGAGTTTTATCTTTCTTTTTATTCATCACTGCCTGTCAGGTTCACACCAGGACCATTTCTCAAAGCAGACTTGTCAGCAAGAGTCTGCTTCGAGAAATGGTGAATAAAACAATGGTCTAAAAAAGAAACAGAAACTGGGATTACTTCCATACATTTGATTCTAAATGGGTAGGCAGTGTTGTGCTGTGTATCTCTTGAGGGAAAATTTACTTGGAGAGGGTGAATCCTTAGATGATCCTTGAGACAATTTTTGCTTAACAGGAAGAAAAGTCAGAGCTTATGTCCTGTATTACTAAGGTTAATCAGACCTAATTTTTTTTTTTTTTTTACTATGAATGAATGAGATGGGGCTCTATATTAAGACCTAAAAGTAAAAAAAAGAAAAATTATCATTCTGTGCATTGGTACATAATTAACTACTGTACTCTATATTGAATTTTTAACTAGGGACCATAAGAAAGACAGTATTTAATTTTAAGAATTACAGACCCAGCCTAGGTGGCACAGTCTTGGACTGCTCTGCTGGAAGCCATGTGGCTCTGTGGTTTGTATTGTTGGGTTAGCCTGAAAATATGCTAGGTCCAGGTGCGTACATAGGTACCCAAGATCCTGACTAGCTGGGGGGCTGAGGAAAGAGGATCACAGTATGAAAGACTCCACCGAGGATGTGTGTCTATCTCCCCTCATCCTCTCATCCCCAGCATGTGTACATACTTCTTTATCATGAATTTTAAAAATGTACTGGGGCCAAGCAATGACAGTGGCAACACAACTGGACCTACGTGGGAAAGGTTTGTGATTTGCTTCCCAAGACCATTCTGTGCATGCCAGGCATGTGCACACGTGTCACACTGTGGCCAGCCAACACTGGGGGTGGATTGTAATGTGAAGATCCTGTTGGAAATGCCTCTCTCTCTCTCTCTCCCTCATGGAGGAAATAATTTAATAAACTTTTTTCTTTTTGGAGAGAGATTTTTGCAATAGGGTACATGTGTTTGCCAGAGAGAGAGAGAGACAGAGACAGACAGAGAGACAGAAAGCAAGAAATCACCCCCCAGAGGGGATGGCCATGCCACAAATCCATTCTCCTCTTGGGATTTTGGGCACGCACATACATGCACCCAATGTGAGTTTTAAGCCACCATGTCCAGGACTTGAACTGCAGTTGACTATGTGGGAGTCGAGCAATGCAACCATTATACCATCTGCTGGCCCCTTAATAAACTTTTAAAAAAGAAACTACAGTATTAGATATACACAGAAATTAATATTCCTGACCTATGACTTAAACATGAACTCTTTTAAAATTGGACTCAGAAGCCCAGTTGCTGTGGTGCATTAGTAATGCTATTACCCTGCAGTGCTGGAAGCCACATGGGTGACCATGGTTAGGATTCTGAGTCAGCCTGAAAAACATAAGTGGCATGTGCCTGGGCACCCAAGATCTTGAGGAGCTGGAGAACTAAGGAAAGAGAGATTGTGGTGTGATGAGACTCTAAGGAGGGTGATTTTTTTTTCTTCCTTTTTAGGTTTTTGCCATGGGGCTCATGAACTTGACAGAGAGAGGGAAAGTGAGAAATCACCCCGTGCGGGATGGCCACACCAAAATCCTCTCTCCTCCATTCTCCTTTCAGGATTTTGGGCATGCATGCACACATATCTGGCATGAGTGTCAAGTCAATGGGTCTGGGACTTGAACCACAGTCAGCCATGTGGGAGACCATCACCTTAACCACCATACCACCTCGTCTTGGAGGCTGATTTCTATCTCCCTCTCTCATGTTCTATCATAAAAAGGAAGGAAAATGATGTGGACTTTGGAGAGATCAGGGGAATCACTGACCTACATCTTTGATCTCATAGTTATGCTACAAAGTAATAGGGGACTTGGAATTAATTAAACAAATTCAGAACTATTTGCTATTAAGAGAAAAAATTTGTATCTTACCTTGCTCTTCAAAGTTTGGGTTGATATACAAATGCAACAACAGTAACCCCTAAGGTCCACATATAGAGGAGGGGCTGGGAAAGACCTCAGTTTCTCTCTCTCTTTTTTATTTTTTTGGAGAGATTTTTGCTACAGAGTGCATTGCACTCACCAGAAAGAAGAAAGCAAGAAATCTCCCCCATTCCCTGGGGAATGGCCAAAATCCCTTTGCCTTCATTCTTCTCTAGGGATTTTGGGCATGCACACACACATGCCTGGTGTGGTGTTCAAGCCTCTGGGTCCAGGACTTGAACCATGGTCAGCCATGTGGGAGTCCAGCAACATAACCATTACGCCATCTGTTGGTCCCAAGACCTCAGTTTCTTAAGCCAGCATTCTTTTTGTCTCTGCTTCTCTTCTCTTGCTGGCTTTCATCATTCTGAGTGGAAAACACAGGGCCCTGATAGGTGATATGTAATCACCAACCTGAATCAGAGAGAATTTTTTTTTTCCTTCTTCATCATCTATTCTATTCCTTTTCCTTAAAATTGCGGCTTTTTTCTGACCATATTTACCTTATTTGTTTTGTGAGTGACCCTAGCATCTCTCAGGTCTGCCAGTAGTTCTACGGAATAATGTAGGTTTGTCCCGGTAGTCACTTTTCTCCTTATGCTCCATGTGCTGTAACTGCTGGGAGGAGAGCTATTCCTGTTGTGAAGCAGCCCTGCCTCCTGTTCTCTCCAGGGCATATGCACTGAAGTGTCTTTATCGTGTGTTCCAGGGGGTAGAGATTTTGAACATTCTGTGTGGGAAGACATTTTATTGGTGGGTGAGAATTTATAACAAACTTTCCCTATATAGGGAAAATAAGTTGTTTTGCTCATTGGATACACGCGGCCTTTTACCACCCCTGACGCATTGGTTCTAATTTGGGCCAGGTCCTTAGTAACAGAAAGTCATGCTCATTTGGTGGTGACTCATGTCAAATGTAGATGTCATTTTAGTATAGTAGGATCAGGGTTTTAAGTACAGTGGTAGCAATTGCAGAGAAATTCCAGGCTGTTAGTTCTTTATGCAGTGTTTCAAAAGCAAAGGCCCCTAAAAACATTGTAGGGATGATTTTTTAAAAAGTTATAAGCATTTTAATATTCCCAGAAATATATGCTATCTCTTGGCTCCATATCTTCATATTCAGGGGTTGGGAGCATTTGTTGTATACTAATCAGATGCTTTATGGATTACTTTGTATAGCTAGGACTTTTCCACTGAACACACAGTAAGTCATTAATGAAACAAGATACCAGAACATGAAAATCTTTAGGGCCAGCTGAAGGCATGGTGATTAGGATGGCTGGATCTCACATAGTCATGAGTACAGTTCAAGTCCTGGACCCTGCAGCTTGAGAAACAAACCTGGCACGAGTGTGTGTGCCCCCAAAATCTTGAAAGGAGGAAGAGATGGAGAAGGGATTATGGTGTGCCATTCATGAGAGTGCTTTCTCACTTTCTCTCTTTCTTTCTCTCCAGCAAGTACATGTGGCCTCTAGCAAATTAAAACTACAAAACTATTCCAGTTTACCTGGGCAAATCACATAGCCTGCTATGGTTTTAGGTTTTTGGCTTTTTTTGTGTGTTCTTTGTTCTCTTGTTTATAGCTTGGTATATGGCATATGTGCTCACAGGGGAGAGGGATGGGTGTGAGAAATCACCTCCCAGGAAGAATGACCATGCTGCAATCCCTTCTCCATTCTCTGCTCAGAATTTTGGGCAGGCATGCACATCCACCTGGCATTTAGGACTCAAACCATGAAGTCAGCCATGTAGGATCCACCTGCCTTAACCTTCCACGTCACCTACTGGCCCCCTTTTTTTCTTTAAGTTTACTTATTTATTTCTACCATGAGTGAGACAGAGAGGGAGAGAGATGGCACCAATGGATGCCATCATCTACACTAGCCCTTAGATCACGATCATAGGCATGCATATGCCTGGAGTGCTCAAGGTTTCCAGATGTGAACCTGGAACTTTGCGGTGTAGGTCATTCTCACAAAGCATATTTTACCACTGTGCCATCATCCCACCTTGTTTTCTTATCTGTATTTAAAACAGGATTAATAGTCATCCCTGCCTCTGTATATACAAAAGAGGTGGATTTAAGTGTGTGTATATACATAAACACCTGCTTATAAAAATGCATTGAGTAGTAGGAATTGCTGTATATTTATGAACTTGCATTATTAATAATTTAGCTCCCAACTGAAAAGTTTGTATTAATTATAAATTGCTTCTCAGTGAGAATTTGGCATCTGTTTTCACTGACTCTAGTTTTATTTTTACTGTTTTCAGAGCTTAAGATGTGGGACCACAGGAGTGGTGACTTTTATCAGAGGCAACATGCTACATGTGGCCTGGGTGGGTGATTCTCAGGTTATGCTTGTGAGAAAGGGCCAAGCTGTTGAATTAATGAAGCCACACAAACCAGACAGAGAGGTAAGTATGGTCTGTTCTATTAGAACATGTGCCATATGGCAGTTTTCTAGTTATTAATTAGCATTTACTTAATTATTATAATTATTGTCATTATCTTAGAACCATGCCCACCTTCCAAAGGAGAAATAAAGAGAACCTTTTCAGGAAACTGATGAGTATTATAGCTGTTGCTTACTGTTAAAGTAAATGAATAAATCCTGAATCCAGTTATTTGCTTTTCTCTATTTCAATGCTGTTTAGGATGAAAAGCAGCGAATTGAGGCTCTTGGAGGTTGTGTAGTCTGGTTTGGTGCCTGGAGGGTGAATGGAAGTCTATCGGTTTCCAGAGCTATTGGTAGGAAAAACAATTTTTCTTTCACCTTTTTCTAGCTCATCTTTTATTAGCTCTGGTTCAAGGGAACCTGAGATGATAATTTATGTTATCAGAGTGGTTATGATGATTAAAATAACAATTAGATAATGCCTCTTTTAATAATTTAAACTTGTCAATTTTATATACTTAAAATTCCACTATTAAAAGAGAACCATATCAAGAAATGTAGAGTTTACAACTAGTTTCTATTCTTTTCTTTTCTAGGTTTTTGCTATAGGGTGGATGCACTCACCAGAGAGACAGAGAGTGAGAAGGAAAGTGAGAAATCACCCCCCACAAGGGGGATGGCCACATTGCAATCCTTTCTCTTCTATTCTCCTCCTGGGATTCTGGGCATGCATGCATATGTGCCTGGTGTGAGTTTCAAGCCACTGGGTCTGGAACTTGAACCACAGTTGACCGTGCGGGAGTCTGGGACCTTAACCAGCATGCCACCTGCTATCTCCACCCCTCCTTTTTCTTTTTCTTTTCTTTTTTTTAAAGGGGAGACTTTATTCATTAGTACACAAATCTGCTTAAAACCAGTGATCCATATTTCATTGCACTTTGGGTTATATTTAGCTTAAATCAGTACTTTCCAGAAGACTCTCCCTTTATTTCACCCATTTTTATTTTGTTTACATCTTTTTTCAATGAATTTTAAAATGACATAATAGAGAATAAATTCATAGGAAAAACAAATGTGCACTTTTTATATGGAAAGTATTTTCTGTATGTGCAATACAGTAATTTGTCAGATAATCTTAGGGTTTAAAAACAAAAACCTATCTCTGTAGGACTTAAAGTTTTCAAAAGAAGGGAAAAAGCCAATTAATTTCTTTTTCTTTTTTTTAATTGCCAAAGGTCATGTGCACTCACTAGAGGGGGATAGGGAGTAGTTCCACAGTAATCCCTTCATTTCTCTACCCTGTCAGGATTTGGGGCACACAGGTACACATGTGTTTTTCAAGCTGCCAGGGCTGGGATTTGAACTGTGTTCACACATATGGGATTCAACTTCTTTAACTACAAGGCCATGAGGCCAGCTCCTGAACTGAGATCGAACACCTAAGTTGACTGGACAGAACGTGAGGGTGTAAATTTTAAAAATGGAGTCATCTGTTTCTGTCTTTGTCTCCTATTGGGCTATTGATTATTATTTTAGGACTCATGGTTTAGCTTTATTATTTTTTAAAAAGAATCAATCAATATGAATGTCTATATGTATATATGAAATGCAGTAATTGGGCACAGGGATAACATAAATGGAATTCTATCTAATCCTCAAATGTAGTTTATCATTACCAAAAAATTCCAGAGCACTAAGGAAATATTTTTTTGAAATTCATTTAGTTTCACCATTGATTCAAGTTCCTCCCACTCTCTGGGAAGGTACTGGCAAGCTGTGAAGTGGCCCAAATATGAGCAGCAGAAGGCTGAAAGAGAGATTGAGCTAAAAGATCTACAAATACCTCCTCCCAAATTGAGAGCTGGTTTTACCTTAGCTTAAGGTAGTTATTAGGAACTCTGGAATAAGGCTAAAAAGGGTAAATTTCTCATTTCTAAAATCTACCCCTCTATAGAATTATTTTTGACAACTCTAACCAAAGACCTCTTTCTTTTGATCTTGTCTGACTTTGACAGAGAATTGAGGGGTATCTTTAATGCTTGTTATAGAACCAACTTACTAGAGTGTATGTCCTTTCTAAATATAATAACAGAAGGGGAAACTACAGCAGGGAAGAATGTCCTTGAATAAGTGAAGTAAGGGAGATTGCATAGAGGAAGTAACTTTGAGCTGGATGTGGAGGGAAATCCCAGGTTCAGGGAATATAAACACATGTGGGCTGGAGGGAACATGGCGTTTCAGGAACAGCAACAAGGACAGGAGGCCAGAACAGAACGTGGGAATAGTAAGAGATCAGAAGTGTTGGTGCCAGATTGTGAGGGCTTGATATGCAAGGCTGGACTTGGCCAGACTAGTTATTACTTGAATAAAGCAGAGGGGCCACATGATCAGGTTTGTATTTTTAAAGATATTTGCAGTGATGGTATTAGAAAATGGAGTAGGGGAAAGAGAGCCTGGATGGGAGATCATTTGGGAGGCCATTGATAAACTTCGTGACAGAGATGAGGGTAACTAAAGAGAGATATGGAAGGTATAAATTGAGATAGAAATGACAAGTTAGGTAAGAAAGAGGAAAGCTAACTTCCAAGTTTCTCACCTGTGACTGGGAAGGTAGTAAAGCATTTGTAAAAATGCAGCAGCAGGAGGCCACCAGGTGGCGCGGTGGTTAAGGGTCCTAGATTCCCACATGGCTGACTGTTGTTTGAGTGCTGGACCTGGTGGCTTCCTTTCTTGTTTTCCCTCTCTGTCTGGTCAAAATTTAAAATAATAATGATAATAACAATAACAAATGGAATTAAATGATTATTTTTTTAAAAAGCAGCAGTTTGGGGGGTTGGGAAGACATAATGAGTTCAGTTTGTACATATTTTATATATACATTTTATATGTAATTTCTATACATATATAATTTACTTTTATGTGTGTGTGCGTGTGTATATATCTATATCTATCTATCTATCTATCTATCTATCTATCTATCTATCTATCTATCTATCTTATTTTCCAGAAGGCATGTACACTTGCTGGGGAGAGAGAGAGAATATGCACCTCCCCCCCCATGCCACAATCCCTTCTTCATCTCTCTTTTGGGGATTTTGAGCACACATGCATGCATCTGGCATTTCAAGCTGCCAGGTCTGGGGCTTGAACCATGCAACTGGTCATATGGGATCCAGCAATCTTAACCAATATGCCACCAGTTGGCCCTATATTCTGATTACCTTTGGAATGCCTTGGAAGAGAGTTTGTACATGGTTGACAATACAAATGTGTAACTCAGATCAGATTTCTGAGTTGGAGTGAAAAGATTTGGGAGTTCATCCTATTTTGGCAATGATATTAGCAAGCTGTGAAGTGATATATATTAGTTGAAAATACAGGCATGGATGACATTGCCCAGGAAAAATATGTAGTGTGAAGAGAGGCCAAAGACGAGACTTACAAGCTGTGAGTCTTGGTAAATTTACTTCTGTATATATTTGTTCCTATGTAAAATAAGAATAACGGTACCTAGCTCATGGAGTTTTTGTGAGCACTGAATGGCGTAATGCATGCACATGTCTTAGCACAGTGATTGCTAACCCTAGTACTAAGTGAAGAGGCCATGAAGAAAAGTAAGAAGTGATATGGAATTGTGGGGTATGGATGCTAAGGAAAGAGTTTCAAGGAGTGAATAATCAACAGTGTCAAGTGCTACAGAGGTCAAGTGAAAAGTGAGGTCAAGTGAAAAGTGAGGGTGTTGAGAGATTTTTGCTATAGGACACGTTTATTTGCTGGAGAGACAGAGACAGAGACATAGAGACAGAAAGCAGGAAATCACTCCCCAAGGGGGATGGCCACACTGCAGTCCCTTCTCCTCCAGTCTCCTCCCGGGATCTTAGGCACACACCTACATGTGCCGAGTGATTTTCATGCCACTGGGTCCAGGACTCAAACCGTGGTCAGCCATATGGGAGTCTAGCAACATAAGCACCATGCCATCTGCTGGCCCAGTGGGTTTTAAAAAGACACGGGAAGGGCAGGGAGTCATAGTACATGTCTATAGTCCCAGCTACTTGGGAGGCTGAGGCAGGAGGATCATGAGTTTAAGACCAGCCTGTCCAACACTGTAACAAAGAATTTTTAAAATAGGAAATAACTGATGACATCTGAGAGAAGGTATCCTGCATTGAGAGGTGGGAAAAAAACCTTCTAATTGAGTTACAGAAAACAATCAGGTGAATAGGCCTAATAAAAAGGAGCAGGTGTAGTTTCTTGGGCAGATTGATGGTGAAGGGGAGAAAGAAAATAATGTAGAAGCTTGAGGAAAAGCTGATTTGGGAAAGTTCTCTATACATTAAGAGAAGAAATTAAAGATGGCAAAGAGTAGAGAAACCAGAATCTTGGGGGTACAGGACCAATCACATGATGGTTAGTTTTGAGAAGGGAAAGGGATATCTCTTTGAAAAAAATGGTAGCTGATATGGGTGACTTGACAGGCAAAAATCTATCAATCTATACTATATCTGTATCTATCTACCTATCTAATCAGGAATAGAGGAAATTCAAGCCTGATAAACTTAATTTTCTTTCAAGTAGGAAATGAGGCCATCTATCAAAATCCAGTAGTTTCCCTGGTTGAGGGAGTTGAAAAACGTGAGAAATATTTAGAAAACTCATGAAAAAAACAGGGGTCTAAATAGGAACAAGAGAAAGGACTCCTGAGCAGAGTTCAACTCTACTTGTGAAATAAATGATATTAAAGCTTTAAAAATGAAAAGCTTTTCAACTGTTTCTCCCCATGAGCCCTTCAGATTTATGACCCAAAGTCGACAGAGGCATGATCTGTTTCCTAGCATATGGAGAGAGGAGGTTGAAGACAAAAGGATGTTGCCATTGCTACCACGAAATGGATATTCATGCCCTCCTACCAAATTTGGGGGCGAAATGTCATGAATTTGACACCCAGCGGTAGAGCAGGTGAAAAGCCAGAATTTTGGCAGCATTTTCTGTGTGCAAATCTTTGTATGTTCTGTTCCAAACTAACAGTTGCAGTAGTCTTTTAATTGAAGCAGTAAAACAAGATTTTTGGGAACAGTATGACTCAGATCGCATTTATTTTTAGAGCTGAAATTCAGAAAATAATAGTGATGATAATAATACAGTCAGGTAGAGTAGGGATGGAGAGATTTAGTAAAGTAGACTGGTGCAGGACACTGAATCCCATGATTAGACATTTTTAATTAGCTCCAGTAGGTTACTGGGAAGGATCATAGAAATGAAACTGATAAAACCAAACCAAGCTTGAGGAAGATGGCTGTAACTGCTCTAGCAAAAAATGAATGAATAGGGATGGTCATGGCCTACTGGTTAAGGGAACTGGATCCCACGTGACTGACCACACAGTTCAAATACTGGAGCTGGTGGCTTAAAAAACATGCTGAGCATGTGTGTGCTCCAAATCCCAACAGGATGGAGAAATGGAGAAGGGACTGTGGTGTGACCATGTACCAGTGGGGGGGTGCTTTCTTCCTCTCCTGTCTCTCTCTCTCTCTGGCAAGCATCCACACCTTCTGGCAATTAAAAAATACATAATGAATAGATAGATAAAAGTCTAGCTATGGTAAGATGGGAGAGTTATACATCCGAGACTGAAAAGAGTGAAGCTGGTCTTTATAAGGTCAAAAGACAAATTTCTTCTTATAGACACAATAACCCAGGTAATTGTATTATCTGTTGTTCTGTTACCCAGTCATGTAACCTGCTGGGTAGAACATGCTGCTCACATTGTTTCTAGCGGAGTTATCCACAGTGTTCCTATTAACCTTTCTGGGACTATTTGACAATTCAACAGAGATGTGAAATGTTAGAGAGAAACTTTCTTGGTAGAAGAACCTATAACATACCACAATTAGTATATAGTCATATCTCATAAGTTTATCATCTCTTGGTCAAAAAGTTCCGTTTTCAAGCAATGGAAGATAGCAAGTGATGAGAGTTGAGCAGGAACAAGTGCAAGAGCTAGGATTTGAAGTCAGGTCTGACTCCAGTGCTGGTATCCTTAACCAAGTTATATGCCACTACTTTATAAATAATAAAACAGCAATACTGTATAAATATCTGCTTACTTTTCCCCCAATTGCCAGAAGGCACATGTGCTCGTCAGAGACAGAGAGAGAATAAAAAGCACCCTAATGGGGGATGGTCACACTGCAGTCTCTTCTGCTCCATCTCTCCCTCCTTTGGGGACTTTAGGCACACCTGCACACATGTAGTGGATGTGTTTCTCAAGCTGCTGGATCCAGGACTTGAAATGTGAGGTTGGCCAGATAGGACTGGCTGCCTTACCAGCAGGCACAGAGCCAGCTCTCTTCTACTGTAATGAATTACGATACCTTACTCTAGGAATCACTGCTCAGTGTTCTGTGGTTTTTGTAACAGAAGTAAATGAGCATTCTTGTAGTCCTAAGTTATTTGATTACTTGAAAAGCTAAGCAGTTTTTTTGCTAGGCTCTTTACAAGTACTTAAAAAAAAATCAACGAATGTAAATGAACACATCTGTAAGTGCTCTGGATCTGAAAATTTCAAACACATTGTAGATGATCAGTTCTCTTGATAGTCTGGTCATAGAAAAAACTAGCCCAGTGTGGGCCTGAGTTTTCCTCTCTCCCTAGTCCAAGCAACCTACACTCTACTACACGATCTTCCCAACAGCTGCTGCTGTTTTTGCTTATGCTGGTCTCTCTATTGAGGGATCTTCTCTGTCTGAAAACTTTTTTTTTTGAGAGGTTTTTGCCTTAGGGTGTGTGTGCTCCCAGAGAGAGACAGAGACAGTGAGAGAGAAAGGGAGAAATCACCCCCCCCCCCAAGGGGGGTGGCCAGCCCACAATCCCTTCTCCTCCCAGGATCTTGAGCACACTCACACATGCACCCAGTGTGAGTTTCAAGTCACTGGGTCTGGGACTTGAACCACAGTTGCCATGTGGAAGTCTAGCAACATAACTGCTACACCATCTGCTGTCTTCTGACAACTAATTCTTAAAGGCCCAGTTCAAATACCTTTCTGTGAGTAGACTAAGAAAAAAGAAAAAAAAAAGAAAAGACCCAATAGGGCCTTTGGATTCTCAAAGTTCATTGGAAATGAATAACAATAAAGACAGAAGAGGGAGGTGATCACAGACATATGAAGAAAGCAATAATAATATGGTAGTCTCTGTGGAGAAGAGAAAAATGAGCATACATCTTGTTTGTTCTTTAGAAGTTACAGATAAAACAGCATTAAAAAATAGAAAGCCAGGCCAGCCCCATAGCCTAGTGGTTATGAGAGCCAGATCCCACATGGCCAGCTTTGAACTGAATTCCAGCCCTGGTGGCTTGAAGAACACTCCAGGTCCAGGTGTGGGCATGTGTGCCCCAAATCCCATAGGATGGAGAAATGGAGAGGGGGTTGTGGCATGACCATGCCCCATCAGGGGATGCTTTCTCTCTCCTTCCCTGTTCTTCTCTGGTGAGCACTCACATTTCCTGGCAGTTATGGGGGGGGGGGGGGGGGGGGGGGGGGGG